CACAACGGTTGCTCATGACAATCTTACGTGCAAGAGAACAAAAAAGAAAAAGAAAAAGAAAAGTGAGCACTCTTATTACTTTTATCTCGCAGTATTGCATATGTGAACTTATTTCTTTTCATTTTGCTTTGGTTGTCATTGCTAGAGGACAAATATCACGATGAATCCATTATCATCATCGATGGCGCCAGTATTTGCTGATTATCAACAACGAAGTACAAATTTACGTTCAAAAATTTTAAAAAATGAAGAACAACGTATGCAACTTGAACAAAAATTACGTTCAATGTCGACTAATAATAATTCACGTTCATATCAACGTAAACAAATTCAACATATTCAAACATATTTTACACGTCTTAATGATGAATCACAACGAGCTGAACAACGTAATTTAAAATTACTTAATGATTTATCACATGCTCAACAAAATTTAGATAAATTACATTATGATGCTGAACATTTAATACGTTTAAAAAATGATTATCTAACTTATCTAGAAACAAATTATCCAAATTGGCAAAAACCAACATCAACTCAAGCGAGTATAAATATTAATACAAGTACTGAATATGATCGTTTAGCTCAAAATATAAGACAAAAACAAGAACAATTAGAAAATGATGGAAATCTTCGACAAAGTGGTATTTAGGAATTATATCTATTAAAAATAAAATATCATATTTCTCTTTTTCTAGTACCAATTGTTCGTCAATCATATGATGTTAATTCTTCCATGTTATTTAAACATTATGAAGATCAACTTAAAATTGGTTTAGAACGTACAATATCTCCATCAACACCTATTATAAATAATGATCTTAAAGATGATCAATCAATATCAGAATCAAATGATATATCAAATTCATCTGTACATGGTAAACGTAATGGTTCACTTCGAATGGAATTAACTCGTACTGGTCTTTATTTTTTATTTGATTATATTGAAAAAGAATTAAAAGATACAATTGATAAAAAGAAATTTTATCGTTTTGATTCACCAACAATAACACAGAAACGAACTATACTTGATATAGCCAATGGACAAGATAAATTTGCATTAAAAGATCTTGATGCAGCAACAATATCAATGGTTATACTTGATCAATTACCATCAACAATACGTCGTACAACAATAAATAAATGTTTATTAACAGAAGATATACTTTCAGCAAATATTCAAGATTTAAATAAAGATATTATTGCACAAATGTTACCTGAACAAGATCGTTCATTATGGTTAAGATTAATTGAACATTTTATTCAATTATTAAAATTACACATTATGGATTGTCAAACATTAGTTAATAAATTTGCTTTAACATTTGTTCCACCAAATCTTGCTTATGCACATGAAAAAGCTAAAAGTCTTTTAAAATATATTCTTGAAAAACTTATTCGTGCACAATCATCAAGTTCAGATGAAGAATCATCATCATCTCAAGATAAAAAACAACCTGCTAATCAATCAAATACAGCAATATCATCTTCATGGTTAAAAAAACTAACAAATGGCTCGGTATATAATGATGATGACGATGAAGAAGAATCGACATCAACATCAACAACACCAAAAGCAAATAAAAATAATCGTAGTTATGATGAACAAGACTTTTTTAGTTGATCGATATTCATATTTTTTTGAAAATATACCTGTTATTTTAGAATTTCGGTAGTTTGATTTTTTTTCTCTAGAAGTTATTTATGGACAAAATAAAATATATTTTTATTTTAATAGAATAAAGTACATAGAAAGTCATTGAATAGGACAGGTTTCATTTGTGTATATTGTTTTTTTTAATGTAAACACAAATATTCAATCAATTGAATATGTTTCTTTTATTGAAGAGATTTTTCTATTATAGTCGAATAATACAAACAAAAAATCTAGTTATGTACTTATTTATTCTTTGTATGAAAAGATTTCTAATCTTCATCATTGTAAAGAGACAGCTACTTAAGAATAAATGTATCTATTGAGACAGTATATAGAATATCAAAAGGTATAAGTGTATTAAGAATAATGTATGATGTCTAGATGGATGTTATGTCGTGACAGATAAGTGCAAGATATAAATAGAGAGACGATTTCATAGAAAAACAATTACAATGTCTTTGAAAGAAGTTATCATAATATAGAATATTTTCTTTGTTACTTATATAACTACTCAATATGATGAACAAGAATTTAATAATCAACTTAAATCGATTGTTGTCTTCATGTTGTTTGGGACAATTCATGTTCATACAAAATTATTCACCTATCATCTCGATAAGTCTCTTAAGCTTCCCCCGAAAAAGTTAATCTTTATCAAAAATTGAGATAAATGCATGGTAAGATAGCCCGTCTTCTGCTTTTTCAGCATACTTCTCTAGACCGAAAGTTCGAATGATTTCAGTTAATTCCTACTGACTAAGTAAGAGACCCTCAGTATATGTCAAGGAAGATCTATTCCGGAGGGCCTTGTAAAGCGGTTTACGACGGATCTTCTGAAAAAACAATAACGGTTTCATCATTTGTCTATGCAAAGATATTTACAGAATACAACATGTTTCGATAAAAATCGCATTTCCAAGATTACTCCACCAAAATACAATATAAAATTCAATATTTTTTTTGTTTGGAAGAGCGTCAAAAGTAGCTGGTATACTGAGGCTCATTTTTTTTTATTTAGTAAAAAAAAATATCTTATAACGTATGTTCACTTTTTCGTGTTTTTTGAGACATTGATTGTTTTCGTATACCTAGCAACATTATAAAAAAATCAACTCTCACAGAACCTGCAGTTTTTGACGCTCATTCAATTAAACAAAAAAATACTTATATGTGCAATGAAGTTTAACAGAGAATTTTTGGAAACGAAAAGAGCTGTTTTCTACCCTTGTTTGTTGAATATCTTTTTTCAGACACGTGAAAATAATCCTCAATTTTCACCACAGCTTACTCTGATTAGTACGAACAAACGCTGAAACTTTTATCTTTCTAACATATGCTCTTTAGACGAAATTTGATTTTGTGGAGGGGGAGGGGCGGGAGTCGTAAGCGATTTTATCAAATATGAATCATTAAATCATCCGATTGAAAATATTGTATTCATTTTCTCAGAGGTGCAGAATCTTCC